CACCAAGGATCCCTTTTATTATTTTATCCCCAAGGTCACCATATTTTGAAATATTTTGATTATCAAGTAAAACTCATCCGCTAAGCTAATTTTCTTCATTTTTCATAGATTAAATGTGTAGTATTCAAACGGAGGTGATATAATCTCAGCTAAAATAAAAGAAACTTGACCTTTTACCTACCCTACATGGACTCACTACAGGGAAAAGTACATTTCCATTAGGAAATCTACCTTTTAGTTTCCAGTGCTACTTTCTCAGAATCCAAGAACTGGTGGAACTGAGATGGCAGGTGCTGGATGGCAGCTCCTATATTAAGTCAAGAGAGGATACTAAGGTAGCCAGCCCATCTTAATGTTACACTATAAGTTAGCCCATTTGTTTACACATTTCTCTGACACAGGAAACTGTGTAAAGGAGTTCAATGCTACAGTGAACTGACATGGTGCAGGGTCTATTCAAGTTTCTAAATTGACAGCACAAAAATTCAATTGTTTTTTCTAGGATGAACTGGAACAGAGTAGTGAGAAGAAAATACAATTTGTGGAGTTTTAGATCACTTCCCCTTTGTGTGTCAGCTTAGATCTGAGTGCAGAGGGCAAGTCATTCATCTTTGCACCCTGAGTAGAAACTTCAGTGGATACTCACAGAAGACAGCTGTGTCTATGAATATGTGGATGGAAGGATGGTGGTCCTCAGAACCTTCAAGACATCTTCCCAGACCCTGATTTGAGCTCTCTTAGAAGATGGGAATTAGGAAAAGGGAATGTACCCCAGGAAACATTACCTTAGGAACCTGGAAGGGATGAAAAACTAATGCAGCCAGAATTCTCTTTACCTTTGGAAAGTTCCTCATGCCAGTGACTAACTCTACATTCTTAACACCTAATGTGGAATAACAAATCTATACGTAAAAATTTTCACCAAATGCCTAAGACACACTCTACTATTTTAAGAGACTCTTCTTTTTTTTAGTGTTTATTTTTGGGAGGAGAGCCACAGAGAGAGTGAGTGCAAGCGGGGGAGGGGCAGAAAGAGAGGGGAAACAGAGGATCTAAAGCAGGCTCCACGCTGACAGTAGAGAGACCAATGTGGGACTCGAACTCACAAACTGTGAGATCATGACCTGAGCCAAGGTCATATACTCAACTGACTGAGCCACCCAGCTGCCCCCAATTTTAAGAGATTCTTAATAACAGAGAAAAAACTGAGGGGTGATGGAGGGAGGTGGGAGGGGATGGGCTAGATGGGTAGTAAAGAGGGTATTTGTGATGAGCACTGGGTGTTGTATGGAAGTGATGAATCACTGAATTCTACTCCTAAAACCAATATTGCACTGTATGCGAACTAAAATTTAAATAAAAAAATAAAATAAGAGCATGCACATGAACATCTTAAATGTAGCATAATTATTTGAGAAAAAAGAGGTAGTAACAAGGGGGTCGGAATTTCTTTATTCTCATCCTACAAAAATCATGTAAACAATAGCACAGAGCTCTCCTTATTCCCAAGTTCAAAATCATCATTACATGGTAACCCTATATTTAAAATAAACAGTCAGGAAAAATAAAACCAGTTATCAGGCAAACACAGCAGTTTTGGATGTCTTGTATGGGAAACTTTCTCCTTTGGAGGTTCAGTAGATCTGTGTGGGAATCTGATGATGGGGGACAAAGGACACTCTGTCACAGGCACAGAGAACAGCGGTGGCTCAGTGGATTTTAGTAGTTTGTTCCAATAAGTATTCATTCGGACCCCCTTCCGGCCCCCAAACAAGAACAGGATTATATATTTGAACTCAAGTGCCAGCAATGGCTGGTCTTTCCCTTACCTCCAAAAACAACGGATTGGAGCAGATCCACAAGCCTGAAAGAAGAAAGTACAGGACTTCTAAACTTTACTTATCATTAAAGCAGACATACTAGGATTCAGGTTTTCCTTACATCAGAAAAAAGCCATAAACATGCAGCCACACAGATTGGAAAAAACCAAAAAAAACAAAACAAAACAAAACAAAAAAACAAAACAAAATAAAAAACAACCAAAAAAAAAAAAAAAAAAAAACAGGCGAGAATCTATACAACTGCTTCTCTTCCTGTTGAAGTTTTTAAGAACGCAACCCAGCTAATTTTTGCTCTATCGTATTCTTGCAGTGGGACAGCTTAATCAGTATTTGGTTTTCAATGCAATAAATATTGGTTAAACACCTGGCAAGGCAATCATGAAGCCTGGTTAGATCTCCTTTCAATCTCCCCTTTGAGTACCAATTTGGGTCTGCCTGCCCTTAATGTCACTTCAACCAGCAAGAAAAGAAATAATTCTCTCAGAGATATTTTAATGCACCCCACTGATAACGTCATTCATTATGAAGAATAACTTATAGTAGGAACTTGGTAGAGAACAACAGTGTCAGAGCCTTTGCTCAGTCAGGTCTCTGCCAGAGATGATAGAGTAAGTTTCCTTTCACAAAGAACTTCTGGAGGTTGAGATGATGGTATTCCCTAACCTCTGGGCATCTGTTAGTCCATTGGAAAAATGGGCTAAAATATGCAAAGCAACTAGCACAGTATGTTATTACATACAGTAATACATACAGGAGGTGCTCCATAAATGTTTCCTGGTCAACTATAAAGACTGAAATTTATTGAGTACCAACTATGTGCCAGACCCCACGAACACTTCTTTATATACAACTATTCCCTAATAAGTGCTAATAGCCCATTTTCTAGATGAGTTAAATAAGGCTCAAATATTAAGTTTATTTAGAGAATTAGCAAGATACATGGCTAACACTGGAACCTAGTTTGTCTGATTTAAAATCTCAAATTTTTTCCATGACTCCGCATTGCTTCCTTAAACTGTTACTTCATTTCAGTGAGCTAGACAGAAAGCATAAAGCAAGTGAGCTATATTAACAACATAAGAATTCTAAACTAAAAATACCATTTCATGCCTCAATAGATGAAAGGGAAGGTAAACAACATGAAGGAAACAATAAGCCCCTAATGAAAGAGAATAAAAAGGTGCAGTTAAATGTCTTAGAACAGACACACGTTAATTAGAAGTCTGATTTTTTTCCCTCTTTTTATAGAGGGCATTCCTCCTGCCTCAAAAAATGGACATTAGTTCTCTTTACGTTCCCTTTGATTAAACTGTCCCAGTCCCCGAATGTACTGGGACAGAGTGGGCAGGTCTTCTTCTTTGAAGGCCCTCAAAAGAGTGAGGCACAGGTAGATGGCCAAGTCACTAAGCCCATTCATCAATAAGAGTTGAGTCTTAGAGGCTATGTTCTGGAATATTAGGCTGGGTGGTCTTACCTGGATTTAATGATTTCTCTACCACATGAACCATCCTATACTGCTCCTGTATTGTTTTAAAGAACTGTTCACTTAGTCTTGGAGCTGGGTAAGAGGAAAATGATATGGAGACAGAAAAAAGAAATGAAATATAACTATGAATGCTTAAACAAAGCTCAGAATGGGTTGGGAAGGAAAGAGAAGACTTTAGCATCAGTAGAAATAAAGCCAGACACCTTGGATTTGGGGAGATGTTTAAAAATCTTAGTACCGTGGTAAAGAACTTCATTAATGACAAGTGGCTGCTGTCAGGTGCCAAATTCCGAATAAAAAGAGTTGCAGACATTGGCCACAGCCCCATATTTTCCTGCCAATACTGACACCAGGAGTTTGGACCATCTGCCAAAATTCCTTACTACTAGGATTGGACCTCCAATAGCGTTTTCTGACAGTTGACTATAAACTAGAACTTCAACAGTAATAGGTTAGAACTATTTTAGAAATATGAATAAGTGCTTTGTGATTAAACTCTACTCTCAAAACAGAATCGACTTTTATTGAAACCTCTGAAAGACATTATTATTTGTTTGCCACCAGCTTTAAATGGATACAACTGTAAATAAATGATTTTAAACAGAGCCCCTGATAAAGCCTAAACCTAATCATTTCCTATAATTCCAGTTTTATTTGGGTGTTATGTGCTTGCAAACAGACACACTTAAAGAACATATATTTATATACATATAAAATATAGATGATATGGGAGTTTCTGACAAATGATTTGTTAATGAAAATTTATTAACTATGTAATCATTGAATATCAGAGAAACTTTAATATATACAAATCGTGTGAGTTCTCAGTTCCTAAACTTTGGTTATATGAATATGCCTCAAGCACCAGAGAACAAACAATAATTCTAATTTGAAAAGAAAAAAAATCCCAAGTAACAAAAAAAGCCTTCAACTCCCTTTGTTCTTTTCTTTTTAAAACGCCATTTGGGGAAACTCTTTTATTCTACATTTCCTTCCATCTTGGTCAGTTTCCAAAAAACAGTATTAATAAAAATTGAACAGGGAAAAAAGTATAGACAAACCATTTTAGATAAAGGTGATGTCTCAAAAGAACTATATCTGGAAATTATTCTGTCTTAAATACAAAATCGTTTTGACCTAGGAGATTTACATTATGTAACATGTATAAAAAAATCCTCAACTCTTAATTTTCAAAATTCAAAAACTCGGGCAACACAATCTTAACAAGAGTTGGGGGTGAAAGGCTTACAGGGAGATCTTTAGCAAACCCAGTTAAAAAAGTTCTTGGTTTTCAACTTCTTCCCTGGCATCTGCTAGCTGCAGAGGCAATGTGCATAATATATAGGCATCAAAAGAGATCTGATGGACTGAGCACAACCCTTCATGGGATTTCACAGGAAATCTGATGGGCAAAAGAAAGAAAAGCTGAAGAATGAAGACTGAAATAGAAAAAAATGGAAACAAAATATATCTAAGCATACGTAAGTTAGGATGGAGGGGGCTTACATGTACAAACTGACAACTGCATATGTGTGGAAGGGACTGCATCCTTGCCCACAAACTGGATTATATACACATTTATATTAAATTAAGTCAGTTCGTATATTACACCTGACAATTCAAACAGGATGTTTCTGGTGAGAGGTGGAAGGAGGTTCTATTTACTCAGTTCCTCAGGCCCCAGTCCTCTGTCCTGGCTGGCTGGTGGTATCTGTACAGGACTCCACAGCATGGTATATGAATGGATAAAGCTTGACGTCTGGTCCGGGGGTCGAACAGTTTCTGCATTCTTCATTGTAATACCGTAGCAAGAGCTTATACACTTCTCCTGGAAAGTAAAGGCCAGACCAAAACCCCCATTAAGGTACAAAGATGGATAGAACTACTAAAGAGCACTCTAGTTTTCTCTTAATCTAAAAAACATATGCTCATTTTTGGCTTTTGAAAATAGAGTATGAATTTCATATGCCTGGAAGGCTTTCCTGACATAAAGTTAAAAAGAACAACAACACATAAGTACCTTAAAGAAACTACTTATTAGTTCATGATTACAACAGGCTATACATGGTATAGGTATATGTGGTATTTGGCCACTTATCATTTTGGGAGTTTGTGGCAACTTTACTTCTACACTCAGCTCCCAGGGTAGCAAGGCCTTTCAGGTCCAGCTGAAATACAGAAATGAGCATGCTGTTATGTCTGATAAGTATGACTCAGAGTGAGACCTCTTAGACCTAGACTTACCTTCCTACAGTATCCCTCTTTTAGTTTTCTATATGCATAAAAGTAAAAATGGATACTAAGCACCGGTTTCTTGGCCTTATTTTAATAAGCTGACATACTCATTCAAGATTGCAGATGAAACTTTGCCAGAAAAGGATTCTGCAGACGTTGCCCATCTAAGACTTTGTCTGCCTTTCTCAAAGTCATACTTTTATTTTTTCTTATCCACTTATCCTGGATGGTGGACAATCTATCTAGACACCAAGTGTCAAGACTATCTCCTACTTACCAACGGTTAGTTTCCTTTCAGTAAGGAAAGTGTGCATGTTGTAAATGTCTCTCATCAATTCTGAGTCCCCAAAGGTGAAATAAACCACATCTCGCTCAGCTACAGCAGCTGCCATTATCTGTATTAAGGCTGTAGCAAAGAGAAAAAAACACAGCTATGTTATGACACTTTCCACCAAGACACATTTAGTTCTTTCAACCAGCTAAATTATAGCTAGTGTCCCATAGCTTTATCCTGAATTAAAGATTTATAAACCTAATATAATATACACATTATTAGAAATGGCAAATACAGATGGGTATAAATCATCTATCATGTGACTTTTCAGATATGCTGCTGAGAATATCATGAAGCCACAGGATTCCCACACAAGCACCTTTGTGGGGAAATAAATAAGGGAAGGTGCATCTAAGGCAGCACAATCAAGGCACTAAGTTGGTTGTATTTTTTTTTCTTCTTATGTTAATCTGGAACTAAACTTTTTGTTTCCTGGCTTGATTTATTTTGTCTTATTACATAGTCACCAGTCTTTTGTATCAGATGAGTCTCTGTGAATTTTCCTGACCAATGCACTTGGGAGGTTCTAATGCTCTCATTAACCCTATAGCAAGCATTCTCAAAATGGGTTAGAGAGCACACCCTCATCCCTCCTGCACTCCCAATTACTACAGCAGAGAGGGAATGTTCCTGAAAACATTGAACAGTAACTCTAGTTACTGCTGGAATGGGACATTCATTGAGAACCACTGTCCCTAGGAATCAGAGTTATAAATCACTGAGCCTGAAATATATTCCTAAAAATTAATTTCCTTTATTACCTTAATCTCAATAGACAAAATTTATTTTTCATTTAAAAAATTTTGAAGACTTTACTAATTTTAATTCCAGTATATTTAACAGATAGCATACAATATAGTGATTCATCAGTTCCATATATTACTCACTGTTCATCAAGATAAGTGTACTCTTGGGGTACCTGGGTGACTCAGTTAAGCGTCCAACTCTCTTTTTAAAAAATTTTTTTAATGTTTATTTTAGAGAGAGAGAGAGAGAGAGAGAGAGAGCGAGCAGAGAGGAGAGGGAGACACAGAATCTGAAACAGGCTCCAGGCTCTGAGCTGTCAGCACAGCTGAGCCACCCAGGCACCCCTAATCATCCAACTCTTGATATTAACTCAGGTTGTAATCTTGTGGTTATGAAATCAAGCCCCGCACTGGGATCCACTCTGAACTTGGGAGTCTGCTCAGGACTCTCTCTCTCCCATTCCCTCTACCTGTCCCTGACTCGCACTTTCTCTCAAAATAAATAAACTTTTGAAAAAAAAGAGGGGAGCCTGGGTGGCTCAGTCAGTTAAGTGTCCACCTCTTGATTTCGGCTCAGGTCATGATCTCGCGGTTTGTGAGACTGAGCCCCACATCAGGCTCTGTGCTGACAGCGGCATAGCCTGCTTGGGATTCTCTCTCTCTTAAAATAAATAAACTTAAGAAAAGAAAGATAACTGTACTCTTAATCCCCTTCACCTATTTCACCCAACCTCCTCCCACTACCCCTCTGATAACAATCAGTTTATCCTCTATAATTAAGAGTCTGTGTTTTGGTTTGTCCCTTTTTTCCTCTTTGTTTTATTTCTTAAATTCCACATAAGAGTGAAATTATATGATATCTGTCTTTCTTGACTGGCTTATTTTGCTTAGCATTATACTCTATAGATCCAACCATGTTGCTGCAAATAGCAACATTTCATTCTTTTTATTTAATGGCTGAATAATATTATAAATATATACATACATACACATACATATACATCTTCTTTACCTAGGATACTTGGGCTGTTTCCATAGTTTGGCTATTATAAATAATGCTGCAAAAAACATAGGGATGCATATATACCTTTGAATTAGTGCTTCCGTATTTTTTGGGTAAATAACCAGTACTGTAATCACTGGATCGTAAGGTAGTTCTATTTTTAATTTTTTGAGGAACCTCCATACTGTCTTCCACAGTGCCCATACTAGTTTGCGTTCCCACCAACAGTGCATGAGGGTTCCTTTTCCTCCACATTTTCACCAACACTTGTTTGTTTTTTATTTTAGCTATTCAGACAGATGTGAGGTGATATCTCACTGTGGTTTTTATTTGTGTTTCCCTGATGATGGGTAATGTTGAGCATCTTTTTATGTGTCTTTTGGCCATCTGAAGGTCTTTGGAGAAACGTCAATAGACAAAATGTATTTTAAATAACAGTAAAACTGAATATAGGTATAATAAATGCTTTTCACAAGTTACATATTTTTTCCTTCATAAAAGGGGAGATGGGAATCAAACTAAAACATTTTGGAAAACAACTTCTGTAGTTTTGATTTTTGAGAGTATGTTAAAATTCTTATATTCAAAAAAAATTAAAACAATAGGAATGGGAATGGAAAGAAGCCTATAACTGTAAACAAACAAAAACAAATTAGCCTCATTTTATTTCAAAAGAATAACATAACTTCACTGAAGGGAAAAGAAAAAGGAAAGGATGGAAAAAAGAAATAACTAATCCAAGTAACTTATGAACATAATATATGACTAATATACTGTCAGTCTTGGGCAAGGAGAAAAGAATTACAAACAAATCCCAATTCTTTTTACTAGGTTTGCTTACCATAGTAGTTCAAGCAAAACAATTTTGAAACTAGTTTTGAATATATTACAGGATTGAGCAAATGAGTAAATGTGTTGATAGTGTTGGGAGCTGGGGTCCTTACCATGACAGAGGGGACACACAGACATGGAATATGGGAAGACAAAAGTAACTGTGGAGATGGATTGAAACAGAAGGCACTACTGTGTACTCACAGACTTGCAAAATACATACATTTGTGTGTGTGTATGTGTGTGTGCATTCTTAGCCTTGTCTGCTAAAGACAAGAAGACACCCCAGTGGCAATGAGCACATCTAGTGCCCAGATATTGATCTCTAATACCATTCCCCTTTAATTTTTTTAATATTTATTTTTGAGAGAGAGAGAGAGAGCGAGCACGCATGACTTGGGGGGGTGGATCAGAGACAGAGAGGAAGACACAGAATCTGACACAGACTCCACGTTCTGAGCTGTCAGCACAGAGCCCGATGCAGTGCTTGAAATTATGAACCACAAGATCATGACCTGAGCTGAAGTTGGATGCTTAACAGACTGAGCCAGCCAGGCACCCCTTTAAAAGAAGACAGCCCAGCAGCATTGAGCACATCTAGTGCCCAGATCTTTGTCTCTAATACATTCCCCCTTTAAAGGAGCTGGATTCTTCAGGGAAATGCCTGATTCCATGGTTAGGACAGGATAGGTACAAGATAAGCCCAGGATATTTTGTTGTACCAGAAAGTAAAGAAAGTGATCAGGATACAGGAGTCAGTTTGAAGGAGTTCCCACCAGGGGCGCCTGGGTGGCGCAGTCGGTTAAGCGTCCGACTTCAGCCAGGTCACGATCTCACGGTCCGTGAGTTCGAGCCCCGCGTCGGGCTCTGGGGTGATGGCTCAGAGCCTGGAGCCTGTTTCCGATTCTGTATCTCCCTCTCTCTCTGCCCCTCCCCCGTTCATGCTCCGTCTCTCTCTGTCCCAAAAATAAATAAACGTTGAAGGAGTTCCCACCAGCCAAATCTGGACAAGTTAGGCACCAAAATATTAAGTATAGTAAATAAATTGCAAACCACTGAAAAAGTATGAATTCTTGAGTCCACATATAATAAATAGATAATATATAATAAATAAATGGAGAAAAAGAATGAGGGGCTCTTGCTCACTGGAGAACGTCAAAGATTAAATGGTAAGCATGGAGGAAGTGATATGATAGCACAGGATAATCCTCCTTTGCAACCATCATGGTAAAGATTGAATCAGGCAAAAATCAGTAAAGAATACCAAATCTAATGGAAATTTTGTCTTAAAGCGTCTTCCCACAAATTGCTTATTAGCTACAAGGGAGAGGAAAAAACTCAGTATCTGTACAGTGGAGAAATCAGACAACACCTTGACTGGGTAATCAAAAATAGCATCACCAATGGGGTCAGATGGCCATCAGGTGCCTCTATCACCTATGCAGTGCTCTGACTGAGAATGTATAACCTCAACCTAATTATGAGGAAACAGCAAACTCTTTATTTTTTATTCTTTAATTCTTTTATTCTTTAAATATGTCAATGTCATAAAAGACAAAGAAAGGCTGTAGAAATACTCCGAATTCAAAAAGAGGCTAAAAGACATGACAACTGAAGGCAATACCTGACCCTGGACCCTGTATTGGAGGGAAAGAAGGATATAAAGGGTTTTTACGAGGGCACCTGACAGAATTGGAACATAGATGACAGAGTAGATAAAAATATTCTATCAATGTTCATTTATGAGTTTAATAACTGTAATGTGTTTATATAAGAAAATATTTTATTCTTAGGAAACACACACTGAAGAATTTAGGAAAAGGAGCATAAAGTACATAAATAAGCGCAAATGGTTAAGAAAAATTATGCATGTGTTCATATATATAAACGTCCATATATGTACACACACACACAGGGGTATTTATTTTTCCTTTAGTAACTTTGTAAATATGAAACTATGTTCAAATAAAAAGTTTTAAGAATTATGTAAGAAGGAAAAATATATTTAAGTTGAACTAGTAAACTTGACATAGTTGAGTATTCCCAAATTTGGGAAAGAATCTAAGACTTTATAATACACGTGAGATTCTAAAACACCAAAGTATTTCCTAATTTCCAAACTAATATTTATTGAGTATCCACAATGTGAGGTACCATTACTAGGCCTCATTAATCTTGGAGTATTGAAAGTAATTAATCTCAAATAGAGATAAGTTTTAATTAAAACTACTCAACCAATTTATGCATATGTTAAAGCTTCGGTACACTCAATTTTAAAAGGTTCCTAATTAACCTAAACTACATATAAAAATGGAAAAATGAATTGTCATTTTCCTCTACCATGAAGTACCATGTCTTACCTTCTAGTTTGAATGAAAATTTGGCTTTAAGTATTTCCTATTTAAAAAAAGAGAGAGAGATCCAAAGAAAAACACTTCTAGTCTTATTTTCTCCTTATATACAGAAATACTAGATCACTGGTCATTTGACCC